TGATTGTTAGTGCTCCAGTCATAGCTTAACTGAAATAAATGTTCTGCAGTTAAATATGTTAGAGTGTGATTTTACATATACATATACATCTCTTCTTATATATAATTGTATATTGAAGCGAATATTCCACATGCTCCCAAATCAGTTGGCTCCATGATGTGTCACTCAGAAGCTGTCCCTATCCACTGGCTGCGTTGCTTGAGTTTTGCCCCCAATATTCTAAACAGTTTGCTGTTCCTCTCCCCCAGTAGCCAGTCGGAACACAGAGGTCATTTACATATGCGGCCTGATTGATCTTTGCCTCTAACATTCTAAACAGTTTGCTGTTGCTGTTGAGAATCATTCAATGTGTCCTGAGGTAAAATACATATCCCAATCTTCCCTTAAGTGGTCACTGGAGTTGCCAATCTCCCTGTGAGGCCTGGAGATCTCCAAGAAATCACCGTGCTCCCCAGCCACAGCACATCATTTCACCTGCAGAAAATTTCCCAGCTAGTACAATGGCTGCTTTGGGGCTGCTTTGGGGAGTGGACTCTATGGCATTATACCCTGCTGCCAGCCTCCAGGCAACACCTGGAGATCTCCAAGATCAGTTCTCCTGGAGAGAATGGCTGCTTTGGGCAATGGAGTCTATGGCATTATACCCTGTTGAGGTCCCTCTGCACCCCAAACCCTGCCCTCCCCGGGCTCTACCCCTCAAATCTACAGGTCTGGCCCTCCCCTTAGTATTGCCAGCCTCCAGGCAGCACCTGGAGATCTCCAAGATCAGTTCTCCTGGAGAGAATGGCTGCTTTGGGCAATGGACTCTATGGCATTATACCCTACTGAGGTCCCTCTGCACCCCAAACCTTGGCCTCTTCAGGCTCTACCCCTCAAATCTACAGGTCTGACCCTCCCCTTAGTATTGCCAGCCTCCAGGCAGCCAAAATGAGGGATCACGGGAAGAGGTGGAACTCCAAAAACAACATCCATTATAAAAATAACGAAGAGTCAATAAAGTTAAGTTGCAAAAACATTTACTGAAGTAGTTCTGTAAGGAATATCCTTCTGTCATCACTCACACGCTAATGAATACTGTGCAATGTGAACATTCGTTTTGCAATATATACTTTATCTGAGCATGTAGCAATCCCAATTCTTATAAAATACTACTTATCAACTCTTGCTGGAAACATTCCATGTTGACTAATAACAGGACCCAATATATATATAATCTGTGATTCTGTGATCCTGTATGTGTGTGTTTATGCTTTCCTTTATTTCAGTTTAAATTTTTAAAAAGCTTTTCATATTTCATGGCCACTATAATAACTGTCATCATTCTAGGGTTCCCAAATCCCCCCGGGGGGCGGAATTCCCCCTGGTTTTGAGCCCCGATTCCCGCTCCCGCGGAATCGGGGCCCGGGGGAAACCCCACCCCGCATGTGCGTCACCTGGAAGTGACATCGCACGCTGGGGGCGGGGCGACGCCATTTGAGGGGAAAACAAAGAGTTTTCCCCTCAAATGGCGTGGCCCCACCCCAGCATGTGACGTCACTTCCGGTGAGGCTCCGGAAGTGCACGCACGCTTTGCGCGCCCGCACACACATCCCCAGCCGGCTCCCGGAGTGACAGGACGCTCCCCCACCGGTAAGATTTTTCTATTTGGCAACCCTACATCATTCTTTGTTCTTCTTCATATGTTAATTATACAAAGTTAGTTTTGGGGGTCAGGATGACTGCCAAATTAGAAAAAAATGTTGTATAAGAACACCTTCCAATAAGAGTGTGAATATGTATTTCTGGCAACATAGTAAGCACCCTTCAAATTGGCCATAACATATAGAGCATCAGCCTATGCTGTCTTCCACACTTCATGTTCCTGGTGGTCAGTTTAGGGACCCACTAGGGATGTGTATCCCAAAATTTCCAAACTGAATATATGCATGAAAACAGTTTTCAGTTCATTACCATGTTTTTTAGAATGGTAAAGACAAATTCTCTCTTACTTGGGGGAAGGTCTTTAAATCAAACCCCTGTATCCATTCTGCTGAAATTTAGGGGGTATTTAGATTATAGGGAGGACTATGATGCCGTTATCTTTAAAAACAGCTGGATCACACCCTCAAATTTCCCCCCATTAAAAATAATGGTCCTGACATACCAATCATCCCCCTCCCAAATACCTACTGATTCAAATCCCAAACCAGTACCGTCCTACCCAAAAATCAGGAATAACTGGTAAGGGTGTCTTCCCTGAATCCCAGATCTGAAGTCATAATAATTTTTTTTCTCAGGGTACACCCCTGGGACATATAAAGGCAGCTGAAAGTTCACTGCCTTGTCTGCCACTATATTGTTCTCACCCTCCTCCTTCCCTCATGCACAGGATTTTCCATTTGTTTCTTCTTGCTTGCTTGCTGAGCAGACCCTACATCTATCTTCTTCTTTTTTGTTGGTTTATTACTGTCCTACCCTGTCATGTTATTATATATTTTAATGTTGACCCAAGCCAGGAATTTATCACCTGCTTATATTTTACTTCTATAATGACACACAATAGTCTTTAGAAATGTTAAAAATAACCAAAATGTTTTATTTAACTTGGTGGAGAAATGGTCAGGTGGAATCAGGGGTAGGTAATGAGAACTTTAGGCTGCCAGACAATCTTAGGATCTCCTGGCTATATTACACACAATGCCATATGATAATATGAGGTAACTTTGTAATCACACTAAATCCAGATAATATGTTGCCAACAACTAAGCATTTTTGGTTTTTCACTAGGTCTTTGAAACTTTGAGGAGAGAGGCTTTCTTTTCAGTTTCTGCTTTTACTCACAAGCATAGGTTTCTGGGTTTCACTGACATGTCAGGTTTAGAAGGCAGGAATGTACAACGAAGTTCCCCAAATCCTTTTCTCTACACAGACCAGGGATCAGTGTTCCCTATAAAGCTGAGTTAGTGTGAGCTAGCTCACAGTTTTTTAGCATCTGGCTCACACATTTTTGTCTTAGCTCAGGAAGGATGACTCCAGAGCAAACTAAATTACACAGCACCCAAATCACCTGCTCACAACTTTAATGCCCGTAGCTCAGAAACTAGAATTTTTGCTCACAGGACTCCACATCTAAGGGGGAGCATTGCCAGGGATCACTCTTCTTTCAAGAACAATGTCCCTTTGTACGGGGCAGGGATTACTTCTCTTAACTAAAAGCAATTTCCCTTTTCGGCTTGAATGGGGATCCTTGTTGATCCACCCACTCCTTCTGCCACTTTCTCAGTCCACAGTCAGTGCTAAACTGTCTCTTCTTCAACTGTCAGTTCCCATCTGTCATTTCTTAACTGACACTTTCCACAAAATTCCATTTGAACAGCCTGTCACTCAAAGGTTCTCAGACTCTGTGAGGCATTAACCCTTGACAGTCCATCACAGCCACACTTCCCAAATTAGCTTTAGTATGAAGACCAGGTTAGCAAGATGCCATAATTTATTCTAAATTTTCATGTTGCTGTTATGAGTGAACTGTCATCAGGAATACAGTATCTGTATAAAAATTTAGAGCCTTCTTTTTAATAGCATAATAGTCAATGGGGTCTTGTCCAGATCATTGACCAGATCAAACACCAGCAGTGTGTAAAACTGTAGAACCACAAATGCCAAAATGCATTCCTGCACAAATACATTTAAATCTAAAGTGTGTATGTATGTATATTTGTTTGTGTACATATGAGAAACTTTCAGCATTTTAATTTGAGAATTGTTTAAAATATGTTCTAAAATAATGCAAGACTTTTACAAATAATGAAGAATTTCTACTAAAATACCTGACATATATTTATGCAGATACCATATTACAGGAATCTGGTTCTCCTCCTGTTTTAAGATAGATGTTAACTCCAAGGTTATGAAAGTATCATGAAGAATTCTGTTATCCTAAGCAGTGTCAGATCTTCTAAGTCCATTAGCTGTGCTTAGGTTGAACCTGTAAATCTAGTTAGTTCCTTAATAGAAAGAGGCTAAATTCAAAATCCATTTAAGTCAATGTTCATAGAAGCATGTAACTCTGTTTAGGATCAGCTTCAGCTTTAAAGTAAGGCTGAAGCTATGCTGATCCAACAGTTGCCGTTGTGCCTGCTATATATTGTGAGAATCAGGGAATACAGGGTAATTAGCAGATGCACATTGTAGGGTCAGTAGTATGTATCGGCCTCTTTCAGAATGCCATGTGGATGATTGTCAGAATGATTAGCCACTTCAGGCAGTAATAT